AGAGAGAGAGAGAGAGAGAGAGAGAGAGAGAGAGAGAGAGAGAGAGAAAGGGAGGAGAAGGGACTTCCCCAGCTTCAGTCCACTTTCAGTATCTGTCTCCTCCTCCTGAGAACTCGCAGACATGCTTATTTGAAATATGTCATTTTCCTTCCAGGCTTCTACAACCTGCTTTGGTTGTTCTCCTTCTAGACTATCTTAGAAAGCACCTTCTAAGATATTTTTTATGACTGAGAGGTCACACCTCCCTCACCCCTAACTATCTGGCTTGTGGTAAAGGGGGTCTCCCACTCCTTCCGATACCGCTTGCCTCCTTTAAAATCGAGACATGCCAAGGACCTGTGCTGGCACGGTAGGCTCAAAGTCACACCCCGCTGGGACAGGCTTGAGAAGAGCACCAGACATTGGGACGTAGGGCATGGTGGGTGCAGGAGGACTGACGACCTGGCAGAAGAGAAGGGTCCATGGGAAGGAGAGATGTTTAGACTGTGGATGTGTGTGTGGAGGGGGGTGGTCCTGTGCCAGGGCTAGTGGTAGCCACAACCCTGTCATTCCCACCATGTTGCTTGCTCCTTTCCGTGGACAACCTTTGGGTCCCCTAGTGTGCCCAGGCTCAAAGGCTGAGACCCCTGTGCTCAGGGTTTCCAGACAGCCAGGCACCAGTGTAGCCCGTATATTTGCTGGTCCCACTCCCTATCTTTGTTCTGTGAATTTTTCTGGACTCTGGATTTCTAGGAAATCGTCACATTGGTATAAAGCTCTGGACAAAATGGGAGAACATCGAAGAGGGGTAAAGGGGTGTGTGTGTGTGTGTGTGTGTGTGTGTGTGTGTGTGTGTGTGTGAGAGAGAGAGAGAGAGAGAGAAGTTGTAACCTTCCACATTGCATTGAAGGGGTGTGTTGGTTCCTGCAATAAAAAGACCCTAGCTTGTGCACGCTCTCGAGGTTCCTGTCTGAGTACTTTCAGGTCTGGTCGGGTCTAGTATAGGCAGCTCACCGCCAGCCACTTAGTACAAGTGACCAATATGTGCACGGATCTTTTCCATTACAAAGCAGTTGCAAAACTATAACTTCATTTGAGCACCACTAAGTCTTTGTGAGGTGAAAGAGGAAATGTATGAGTACGATTATTATTATCATTATAATCACGTTTATCCCCACTTTTGGAGATGAGAGAACTGAGAATCCAAACACTTTGAAGAAAGAACTGGACGCAAAACTAGGGCTTAACTTGCGCGTCCCGCGTGCACAGCTTCCGGCCTTGCGCTGAAAGCACAGACTGCAAGTTGTCGGTGGGAGGCATGAGGACTTTTTTAACAAATTGTTTTGCTGTTGGGGGTCGCCAAAGAATGAGCAAGCAGAAATTTCTTCTCTAGGGGGCCGCCTGCGTAGAGTGCTCAGAATTTTGAGTATTTATTGTAAAAACGTGAGTGGGAGCTTGGAAAATTTGCTGAACGTGAAACGCAGACAACTGAATCACGTTGGGACGCGTCTCTGACTTGAACTGTGGATCGGTGAGGTGAGGGTAGACGGTCCATCGCTCTGGTAGAAGCGAATTTGGGAAAGGTGGAGGTGGCCAGAGCTTAAAATGCTCTCTTGAGGGTCAAGTCCGGGTAGGGGGTTAAGGGGCTGGGAGGGAAGCCTGACACCCTGAGAGGTCCTCCGACGTGCGAATGGCAGGTACGTGGATGAAGAGTCACCCGCGTTCCCAGCGCTTGGAGAATGGAGATGTGGACTTGGTAACGTGGTAACTGTCTCTGGCAGAGAACATCCCTCCTGGCACAGCGGTTCCCCGGGTCAAGAGCATCGCCGGCTCCTTCCCTGCTGTCCAGGCTGAGGGCTCCACCCCCTAAGCGGCCTTTGGTGTTGGTTGAAGGTAAGTGCAAGAGCGGGGGAGCCCTTACTCAAGGTACCTAACTGAGCCGAGAAAAAGGAAAAAAAAAAAAAAAAAATCGAAAAGAAAGAGCAAATGAAGCGGAAGTTTCAAGGCCCTCTGCGAGGAATAACAGTATAAATAACCGAAGACGTCTTGTAAACACTGCGGTCATAACCCCGAACATTAAACAGCCCCGGTGGCATCTGGCGCATCGGCCGCCGCTGGCTGCGCTGGGGCAGAGAGGGAACCCGGTCCCAGGCTCCTCGGACGCGCCTCTCTGTTTATCTCAACTTAATCTTCCCCAACGAGCTGTTCCGTAGCCTGGAAGATGTTTAAATTAAAACCCAATCCACCGGAAGTCGTGGAGAGGAGCTGAACGCGCTGGCTAATGTAACCGAAAGGCAGGCATGCGCGTTGTTATAAGTAATCATCAATTATTAATAAGAAATATAAAATACACGTTGCAGCCCTTTGAAAATCGTAAAACACATTCCAAAGGTATGGCATTTATGTTCTTCATCGCTCCCAGTATTTCTTCACTGTTTTGCAGCTATGGGTTGCTTGGGTTCATGCACGCGCCTGGAAAGTTATAGAATGTGGAGTTTACCTTCCTGCTCGTGTTAGCAATTAAACTGTGGAATAACTGAAAATCAGATTTTTCTTTTCTGGTGCGTTTTTCTCTTGAATCGTGTAACTGTTAATAACTTTAATCCTTCCCTTTCTTTGTTTACAGTTACATTATTTCTAGTTGTCTGAAAAGTAACGTGCAAACTTGAGGGACTAGTTTGTTTTTGAGGTTTCAGTGCAAAATATGATCTGCACCTTCACAGTGGAAATCGTATTTAATCATTGACTATCTCTAGAAGTTTGGATTGAGATTCAAAAGAACCACTTTTATTTTATAGCTCCCCCATAGTTCCCCATCTTTCTATTCCAAATATATATTTTAAAAAATCACACCAAATGTCAGGGCTTTTAGCAATATAAAGAAAGATTTATTTTTGAAAGTAGCAAAACTTGTTTGAAAAAAATATATATCTTTAAGTGAATTACTTTATAAATGTGACTGTCAAAGTCAGCTATTCTATGATCTACATTTTACAACATATTGTACAAAAGATACACATTGATAGGCTCTTATTATCTATTTATATATTTATAATTACATATTGCACTTGGACCAGCAAGGCTCGCAGAGTCATTCACGGTAGAAGTTAATAAAGTTAAATAGATGGGAATCGTTGTAAGTACAATTGATGTCCTCTGGTTTGGAAACGAATCTCCTCGTCGCTGTAAAGTGTTCTCGAGGGGTGGGAAAGGGAGAGGAGAGTTGCAAGGGGGAAGAAGAGACAGAGAGCAGGGAGGGCAAGGGTCGCCTTCCCGGGGCCCGCTCCCCCCCCCCCCCCCGCCCCGGGAGCGCGCCTTTCCCAGACTCGCACCTCCAAGGTCAGGACGCCGTGGTTCCACATAAGCGGCTTGCGGTCACCACTTCTTTCAGGTCACTCTCGGGTTTCCCGGCCACCATAAAGGGCCACGTCTGCAGGAGAGAAGAGGGTGGAGGAGGTAAGTGGCCATGGAGGAGGGGTGGGATGAGGCGGGAGCCCGAGACCAAAGGAAAGGGCGCCCAAAGGAAAGGGCGCGGTGGGGGGCAGGCAGTGAGTTGGAGAGGCCCGTTATCTCTGCAGTTTTCCCGGTGACCTAGTGCGCCCTGTGGCTGGGTAAAGCAGAAAGCGGCGTTGGCGCCAAGCCACAGCTCGAGGTGGTAGAGCAAAGAGGGGCTCGCCCTGGGTTTGAAGTGAAACCCAAGAGAGGAGACCCTTGGAAAGCCCAAAGTGGCTCCTGCCCTGCCACAGCCCGGAGGCAGATGCTGGGGTGAACCGGAGCAGGGAAGCCGAGAAGGACCTCGCGCCACTGGGCGCCGGGTTCAAGGTGAAGCGCCCTGCTGGCCCTCTTCTGACGTGCTGGTCAGGCTTCCCAGCCCTCTCTTTTCACCCCTATGGATTTCCCTACTTCTATCTTTAGTTTCCTCCATCACAAACGCCGGTTTTAACCACAGTTTCTAAATTAATCGCCAGCTCTTAAAAACAAATAATGTTAATAAAAGAATATAGCCGTGTGTTTTCACATTGTGTTCCTACTGGGCTGAGCAAGCATAGCTTTCTCTTCCCTTCCCCGTTCTGTGTATAATAAAGCTCCCTTAAGTTTCTTATTCAAAGATGAAGGCAGCAGCAGTTGTAAATGAAGGCACTGCTTTCATTTTCGTTCCAGATTTTAAAAAGCTGTTTCCTCATTCAAAAACCCTGACTTTTAATTAGAAGGAAAAATATTTTTCACAGCAAAATGTGGTTTTGCATCCCCCCCCCAATTCCTGAAACCAATTCAGAGAGAAGACAATTCAAACCTTCAAACCTCTCTCTCTAGTGCCCACCGATAAGAAGACTTTTAAGAGGAAAACCTCTCCTTCTTATCATATATAAACAGAGGTGGTAGTTAGTTTTTGTTTTTCTTTAGCCCCTGGAAGGTTTAAAATTAAATCAAACGAAAAAGGAATTAAAATATACTTCTTAAACAGTAAAATGCGGTTGAGAAAAATATTAGACTCAATGAGCATTATTCTTTAAGATAAAAAGTATCATGTTCTTAAACTTGAAGGAGAGTGACCTATTTTAATATTATTTATTACACTAATACTCGTGATAATGTTCTGATTATGCTGGTATTTGCTAGAAATTCTGGGATTCGAGAATGTTAATCCATCTGTAGGAGAAGTGCAGAATATTTAAACAGTTGGGGACTTATGTGACAATTATGGGGGGGGCATGATGTGTCCATATGTAAAGGTTCTACATATCCTTGGGAAAGAAACAGAGTTGGCTGTTCTTATTTACAGGAATTAGAGGGGGCGGGGAATCAAGTTCTACTCTTCAGCTGAAAGAATAAAAGTATTACTAAAATGCCGCCTCAGCGCGCAGCATCTTGTCCGTGTTCGCTGTCCCGCACCGGCCCTGAAGGCGCTGGCGCGAGTGCGGCGGGATCCCTCCTCTTTGCCAGCTCGATACGCCTGCAAACTCCTAATTGGGCTGCCACGTCAAATACTCGCATAAATCAACGCATTCCCGCGGCTTGGAAGGCAGAGAGTGAGGGCCGTGTGGGGATCGCCTGCACCGGTTCCCTAGAGACGCTGGCTGGCGGTGACTAAGATGCGCGGCTCCCAGGCTGGCGCGCACCCTCTCACCGGGGACCCAGTGCAGCCGCGCTGGGTCGCCCCCGCCCCCCTCCCCGGGACGCCGCCGCCGCACCGGAGAACTTACCAGGTTGACCGGGTGAATATAACCGTTCTCGTACTTGTCGTTGGCCAGGATCTGCCTCAAGTGGGCGATGTAGCTGGACGCCAGCCTAAGCGTGTCCAGCTTGGAGAGCTTGGTGTCCGGGGGCACCCAGGGCAGCGTGGTCTTGAGCCTGGAGAAGGCCTTGCTCAGCACCCGCATCCGGGCCCGCTCGCGCGCGTTGGCCGCATTGCGCTGGACCTGCTTCCCTTCCTGGCTGACCCCGCTCAAGGGGCTCTTCTTGGTGGGAGCCTTCCTCCTCTTGCCCAGGCCGCCGCGGCCCTTCTGGGGAGAGCCGGTCTCGCAGTTGGAGCTCTCCTCGGTGCTCTCGTTGGAAGTCACAAACTCCTTGTTCGAGTCCATTTTCAGCCCGTCGCAGTCCAGCATCTCCACCTCTTGAAGGTCGTCCACATCGCTGAGGGAGCCGGTGGACATGTTTGGGGGAGAGGATGAGAGAGACAGGGAAGGGAGAGACGAGAAAGGGAAGAGAGGAGAGAGACCCCGAAACCAATGGATCCCCCGAACGTGGAGTGTGGGGCAGCCACCTCGGCTTGGGAGCCGGGAGTTGCGGGTCTGGTTGGGTCTCACACCCCTTTCCCCTTTCGCAGTCTTGAGAAGGAGCCGCGAGGGCTTCTGCGGGCAGGAAGCCGACGCTGTTTCCCCACCCCCGGAGTCGTGGCCGTAGAGGAGTGTGAGAGAGCGCTGAGGAATTTGGTGGACACTAGGAATTTATCTGGGGAATAGAGGCGGATCCTTGCAGCCCAGGGGAGGGGCCTGCGAGGCCCCAGCAACTCTCTTAGACCCCTTTCACAACCGGAGGGAAACTCACGCACAGCCCCTGATTTCCAGCTTGCAATGTGGATCAACTCCATTGCAGGACGCAAATACCAGTCACCTTCTCCCACTCTTGGCCGGTCTGGGGAGGAGCGGGCCCTACTGAAGCTCCTTCTCCGGGGGGGCCCATCTCCTAAGGCCCGCTTTCCTTCTTAACAGGTCATAGCTGCCTGAAACTGAGAACTTTAGGAAAACGACCACATCCTTTTGCTGTTTCTGGGCCTTCCACCCACAAATCTCACTAGCATCCTCTGGCTCCCCGCTTCCCCCCAGAAAACACCAATTAAAATGCAGGCAGGGATCAACCACCTCCTGCCAACACCCTATACGACTCTGTGGCTTTTCCAAGATATCTTCACACCTTAACTCTGGTGAATTAAGACAATAAGTGCTTTCTAGGATCATTAGGGTGATGACAGAGAAAGTACCAAAAAATCTATCTACACCTGGTCACTTTAAAGATATCAAGGAACTGCCGGTGTGTACATGAACAGACATGACCATTGCACACCCACACACAACCACACACAGTTTAGGGGGAGTGGAGGAAATGAGATAGAGTAATACTGGTGTGTGGAAAACATTTTGTTAGTCGATAATCTTTTCTTAATGAAACTAAAACCTATAACCTTTTCTTAATGAAATTAAAACTTTCCCCTAAATTTCTTTCTAGAAATGCAGTTAATATTGTCTTAAGAATGTTAGTTGCTCTCAGACATCACCTTGCCCAGGACTTCTGGTTTCCTCCCTCCCAGTGCTGCCTGCTGCCTTCGCCTTCTCCTTACATCCTCTTGGCTACCACGGTTCTGCATGTAAAGCTGACATTACAAAACGTTAAGCAAAATGTCCTGTTCAGAAGGTTCTTTTTTCCATCTCTAACTCCAGCCCCGACCATCTTTCCTGGAGAAGAAGAAAATCTGGGGAGTAAGTAGAAAAGCAAAGGGAACCAGAAACCAAGGGATTGAATGACATCGATGAAATGAAATCAGAGAGACAGAATGCATGAATATTTCTTACTAGTTCTCCAGGTTTTATTTCCTTGCAATTAAGCATTGACAGTGAGGGGCTAGAGCAAAATGCAAGAGCGGATTCTGAGCTTTTGGCTCGGAATCTACACCCCTCTCCTACGTTAAGATACCATATCTCTAATCCTGGGCTCAGCTGGGAATTCACTAACCTCTAACATTTTGTTTTGTTAGCAGGGTCTTGTTTGCTTTCCCCCTATGCTGTAAACTAAACAGATTGTCAGCAAATCAGTCTTTATTAATGAATTAGTGAGACCCCTCCCCGCCCCCATAATATCTTTGCCCAGGATCCAAAATTTGTTAATCACCGGTGTAGAGATTTATGGGCTCTCTTATTTTCTGTTGTTTGTGCAGGTGGAGATTTAAATGACCATATCCACTACCAAGATTTATTGCGAGAGTGATTGATGTTATAAACCAGGAAAAGGACTCTTCACACAGCAGGGATGATAGAAATATCAAGTTGAAGTTGCCTTTGTCCTCATGCACAAATGACCCAGCACTACAACACAGAAAGTATAATAATTTAATCTGAGATTCAAGACAGCATTAAGGGAACACCCAACAGTCCTGTTAAATGTTTCCCCTCTGATTCCCAAATTAGTTTTCTTTGATTTTCCCTCCCTTTTCTCAGTCTTGGTAAGACATGAAAGTTTAAGTTATTTTTAGACTAAAAGAGCTATGTGAAAGTGGGCATTGGCCAATACTTTGTGAAACATGTGTGTGTGTGTGTGTGTGTGTGTGTGTGTAGCTACTGAGATATCTGCGGAATAACCACAGGTAATTTATTTATTTGGGCTCTGGAATGGGATGATAATTAAGAATCAGAACTATGGCCTTACCACATACCAGGCTAGTAAGCTAGGAAGATTTTGCTTAGAGTACTTTTCTTACTGGAGGGAGAAGGTCTGATTTTCTGCTACCCTTCAGTTGGTAAGCTGCTGAGGCTGTTTGGGGGATAGTAACAATCATAGTAATATATACATCCGAATAGATTTCTGCTCTCTGATTTTTCTAAGGTTTGAAACTTAAAAACAGCAATTTCTGGAAAGGAGCAAAACTAGCTTCATGCCACAAGCTGCTTTTTGTGCCTTGCAATGAGTATTATTTTTTAGATAAGTAAGAATTAAGTCCACTTATCCTGCAGTGATACAGTTAGTCTGGGAAGGGCTAGTGGGTTGATAATGAACTTGGGGTATTTGTAAAAACCCTATAAGCGATAGCTACCTGTTTGGGAGCAAGCTATGAAGAAGGTTGTTATTTAGGTACCTGATGTGCAGTCTTGAAGACAGTAGATTAAGATGAATAATACTTTTTCCTCTTGACATTTTGTGTCTACCCTACTAATAAACACTTAGGGACAGATGGGTGGGGGAAATGACTTATTGTTGGATTCTACTGAGAAAATCAGTTAAGCTGTAACTTAAGCTGTGCCAGATTCTCCCAAAATATAAACTATAATTCTGTGAGAAGAGAAGCATTTTTGAGAAACTGTATTAACTCTTTCAATAACAAGAGAAATCCTTTGAACATTACAGTTTCAAAGAACTAAGTAGAAAACTAGTGGTGTGAGAGCATGAGGTAGTTACTAAAAGTTCTTACCTTACTTTTAAGAGAGAATTTATGCCTCAGCGACATCTGGCCAATTTGTTGCACACTTCTAACAATTTGTTCTGCAAGAAAGGCTATCTTTGAAAGATTTCAATGCTAAGGAAGATTTATCTCCAAAAGTAGTAAAATGAAGATTAGGCATGGAATGTATCCTTGAACGTAAATCCTCGTTTATCAACTGATAAATTTTCAGGAAGTTCAAATTTGATTCAGTTGCACTTGGATGGGATAATTTGCTTCCTTTTTTATGAGAAGAAAAACATCAGGGCTTCTTTTGAACTGACTTCATCTACCATCATCACATTCTCTTTCCGGGGGGCAGGGAAGTATGTCTTTAAACTCGAATTTTAGTCCTTTTCTCATACTCCCTACTAGTTGGCCAGGAGGCACACAGGCTGGCAAATTGGCGAAACTGCCAATTCTGTCTTTCTTTCTTCGCTTTTAATTAACACCTCCAAATGTGTTATTCTCTTTGTTTGATGGTAACCAACACCACTTCAACGATGTGCTGACCTTCTATGCAAATTGACACCTCTTTCTCCATTGGACATAATTGCCACTGTATCCTTTGCTGCTAATTGATTATTTTCCATCTTCAGCTTATAAGACTATTGAAATTTGACTGTATTTTGTTAAATTTTAACTTATTTTGTCAGGTGAGCATGATCTCCCCTTACTGATTTCAAATTATAATGATGCTGGCCTTTTATATTTTGGCAGCCGAAGTGAATACAGCACCAGTGAGTGAGATTGGTGGCTATGTAAGGACATCAGTGATGGTGATGCTATTATCTTTACCTGGAACCATTTTTAAAAATTTATTTTATTGACATATAGTTGATTTATAATGTTGTGTTAATTTCTGCTGTAAAACAAAGTGATTCGGTTATACATATACCGTATATACATTCTTTTTCATATTCTTTTCCTACGGGGCACCATTTATGATCAGTATTCAGAAGTCCTCTTGGTGTTCACCTTACTGTCCCCCTCCTTTTCATTTAATTCAATGAATTGTAGATCCACTGCTACAGCACTAAAATTTAAAGCTGGCAGACAGCAACAATAAAGTCCAAAGAAAGACTCATGGTTTTCAGATCCAAGAGTTACCCTTGCATCCCACATGCTCCAAAATGTAACTCTGAAAGCAACAAGGCCTGTGCACGTGAAAGACAGAGTTTACCTTAAGGGGCAAGTGAGCTGAAAGAAACTCAGGCAGATAGTGAGAAGTGAAATTTTTACAAATTGAGTTTGATGTCATCCTAAGTCTTCTAACACTAGCATATTTTATTAGACCTGCTCAATATTAGGAGAGAAGAGAGAAGAAACTGAACAACTCTCCTGTCAGGTGCCGTGTAAGGTTCTGCGCCTCCGTTCTCCCATTTTATGTAGAATCTCTCTTTTCTGTTGTCACCACTAAAGAAAGAGCTGCTATATGAAATAGAAATCTTTTTTTTAAAGTTATATTTGCAATTTTTAGTTGAAGTATAGTTGATTAACAATGTTTCAGGTGTACAGCAAGTATATATCTCTTTTCCAGATTATTTTCCATTACAGGTTATATTAGGTTATTATAGGGCATTACAAGATATTGAATATAGTTCCCGGTGCTATACAGCAGGTCCTTGTTGCTTATTTATTTTATATATAGTAGTGTGTATCTGTTAATTCCAAATTCCCAATTTATCCCTCCCCACCCTTTCCCCTTTGGTAACCATAAGTTTGATTTCTATGTCTGTGAGTCTATGAAATGGAAATCCTAGTAGAAATGTGTGCCAGAGGCTTTCCACCCGTAACAATGAAGTTTTAGAAAAACTTGCTTGAGTGATGACTTTTCTGTGTCTTAGTGTAAAGACTGAGCAAAACCTCCCAAGTTTTCCTAAAAATAATAAATTTTATGGATTATTTGAAAGATGCCTATAATGCATTTTATGTTAAATATGGCCTATTGATGGCAATAAAACAAAGAGGCCAACTTACTGTCAGGCCCCTTCCTATCAGGTTAGGATAAGATGGGCAAAAAATAAAATCACAGCTTCTTTCTGGTGATGATCTGCTTGTAATTACGTCCTTGTGGCAGGTGCTTTTAGCCTCAAGGAGCCAAAAATCATGAGTCATAGAGTTTAGATCCTGGGACCATCAAGAAAGTACTTAGAATGTGACTCCTGACCTCATGAGCATAAAATATGTCCAGGTAATGTAGTATTTTAAAATAGAGCTCCAAAGTGATAGACTCTCAGAATTGGAAGGGGCTGAGAATCAAGAAGGCCCCTAA